AGACAGGGCTGTGGAGCCTGACAAACAGAGGTGTCCCTAAACAGAAGACCGGCTCTGAGGCCGTGCTGAAGGAGGGGCCGCAGAAAGAGAACGGGCGTGTGCGTTGTGTGCGCGAGCCGCCTCCCCTCTCCCAGCGGGACAGCTGGCCCAAAACTTGAAAAAACTGACTCCGAGCCCGGCAATTCGGAACATCTGTTCCAAATGTGAGAGACTGCTGCCACTCGGCCTCCTCCCCCCGATTAATGCTGAGAGAGCCCATCACGCACCATAGGCGCTGTTCCCTAAAACTGAGAGGGCACCTCAAAGTCCTCCCGCGATCACCTCCTCTTCCGGCAGGTGAGCTCGGCACCCTGGCCAAGCTGCTCTCGCCGGTATCCCCCCCCGACCCCCGCTTTGCTATGATTAAAGGAGACGTCTGAATCACCTTAGCAAGCTTTTGTACAACACAGCAGTGAGAAGAAAACGGAAAGCGAGGCAGAGTTTTCAAGGAAGAACCCTGCAGGAGTTTGCCGTCCGAGGAGAAGAGAGCTGACGTGGCTAAAACGGAGAAATCTGTCCGCGACCTGAGCCCCGGCTGTAAATGCTCGCTGCTCGATGGAAGAAGGGATATAAAACACAGAGCCTAGCTGGGGTTCCTGACATTTCCCCCCCAATAGGCTAAAGACCAAGGGGGTGTCTCCATTTTTACCACGTGCTGTTCCTCAGACGAAAGAGCAAAGGGGACGAGCGCACACGTAGTTGGACTTCGTGACCACGGCTGGCCCCGTGTCGACATTTTTAGTGGCTGACGATTTGAGGTCAAACCCTCATTTAAAGGCTCCGCACTTGTGGGGAAGAAGCTCTGCCAAACTCGCAGCATCTCGCCCCTGAAAGAAGAGATCTCTGCCGACAGAGAACCACCCCAGAGGGTATGGGAAAACCACACGTTGCTGGAAAGGAAACGTTGCCTTTGAGGCTTGGCTTTCGAGTCCAAGACAGCCTCACGAGACGTGGCGGAGCAACCGCAGAAGGGCGAGATACTGGCACGCGACTGACACTGCTGTTTGACAACTCCCTGGGGGTGGGTGGGTGGGAAATAGCCATGGAACAATTAATTACATCCTTCCCAACCTCACAAGGATTTCTCTCGAGAGGTCCAGGCTTTAATGAGCCAGGAAGCATTCTCTGTTTTGGGTGCAAATTTCTGCCAACGTTTTAAATCCGTTGTGTATGCGGAGAGTTCCAATGAAGTCTGTCAAGACACACCGGGGGGGACTTTCTGAAGAAAGCATGTCGGGCTGAGCATCTGAAAAGCGGCCTGCACTGAAAAAGCCTCTGCTGAAAGTGTAAAAAGTTCGCTCTGAAATGCTGTAAGGCCAAGCAAAACGATTCAGTAGAAGTTGGCCTTCGAAACTGATCCCCCCCTCCCAATCAGTGTTTGGGTGACAAAAGATTCAAAGATAGACCTGGGTGGGGGAAGGCGGGACGAACCGTCGTTCCCCTGGGGGAGCACACTGGCTCAGCCGCCTTGGATCTGCCCCACCAGCCGGATCCACACCAATCTAAAGAGGACGAGTTTACAATAAAAGATTTTCCAAACGGCCTGAAAAAGCCAAGTGAACAAGAGAAGAGGCAGTGGTTTAGAGAAGCCAATTCCTATAACGAAAGCTGCCGGCATTCCACGGGAGGTTCCTGGGCCCTCCTCCTAGGGTGACAGAGCTGGAACAAAGGATTTCTTTTTGCAGTCGTTGTTAGGGTGAAAGAGGCCTCCGAGAACCGATCCACCCAACATGATGAAAAGGGAGAGTCACGGAACATCTGGGGAGGCCTTGAATTCCTCTACCGTCACATCGCTCACGCTGCCAAGGGGATTAGATACGCGGAGGAACAAGATGAGATCAGTGGTGTCTGGAGACTGAGGGGGCACCAGAAGGAACATTTGATTGTCAAGTCTCCTCTGCACAGAAGACGGAAAAGAGCACGGGGGGATGGCTCCATACCAGGGCATCCAAGTCTCCCTTGCCATACAAGTTCATTATCTCTGTCGTCCTGGAAACGGAAAAGCCGATGGCTTCCGTTAAAAGCTGAGCCGGATTTCTCAGAATCTCTCCCGAGTCCGCTTACCAGACTCAGTCGAGGCCGCCCGTCCCTGGCTTTAAAACACTTCCCCCCCACAGGAAGCTGATACAGGTGGAAATACTGTTTGGGGGCCCTGTTCATACATTGCCCCCCCCCCCCAACTGCAGGTCGAGCATTCTTAGACAGAACCTGCACCGAATGCCCACTTTTTTTTGCCCCCAAAGGTGCCTTCTTTGAGGATGTGTTGGGTGGCCACACGTGCGATCTCTCGCACCTGACCTTTAGGGCGCTCCAGCCTGTCACAGGTCCCATCCGGCCTGCCCTGTGTCCACCACCCCGCCTTGCAGTCAGCAGTCTGAGAATCTATAGCCATTGTGTTTCCTAAAGAAGCCCGGCACATTCCTGATGTCTATCCATCCAGTTTCCCCGGCCTTGTCTTGGACAGACCCAACAGGTTCCCTCCCAAAGTACTTCTAAATTCTCCTCAGTCTCTCCCCAACTGGAACAGAGCCAGCAGAAGCAGGCAGGGCTGAGACAGGAACGGGGAGGCTTTGAACACTGTTGCTGGTCAGGCCCCCGAATCTCCCCTTACTTTTACCTCTCCGTATATACATGCGCAAGGGGCCCGTGTGCAACGAACTTGAGACACAGAAAACCTGATTGTGCAATCCAGACCTTAGGATGGGAGAGAGGCGAAGCTGGCTGATGGGAGATTGACCCCCCCCAAAACTGGTTAAAAACGGAACAAAGATACCCAAGCACACTTCTGGTACTTCACTGTACCCAGCCAGTTTAAAAGGACCTTTAGTAAGGCCCCCCCCCCCCCCCCCCCCCCCACCCACATATCACTGCAGGTTTTTTGCAAGCCCTCGGTTCCAAGCGACCCTGCCACGCAGAGCAAGGATCTCTCCGCCCAATAAGGCTTCTCCCAACCGCTTTTATGCATTTGAATAAATTAAAACAAAAACCCTTTACATCCCCCCCCAATTTACTATGAACACAACCTAATAAAAATAAATGAAAAGCATATGAAATTTTTATCTTTATAAATTCTCATCACATCTCTATAAAATACTAGCTGCATCCCAGAAATGGCGCGTCTTTTTCTTTTCTGTACACTGAACATCACCCAGTCACAAAATACAATTTTTTTTCTCCTTAAAAAAATGCACTGATTTGAGAAAAGGTGAAAAAAAAAACACGGCGGGGGGGGGGGGGGGGAGGTTTTAAGCTAGATCGTGGGGTGCTGTGAGTGTAATTCTCCCCGGTGTGGGCGTGACACAGCATTTAAAAGCCCATTTAGAAGCAAAGCAATACAAAAGCGAGCACACGTCTTTCTTTTTGAAGTCAATAAAATATACAAAAAGCCAAGCCGTTTCTCAAAGCAATCAAGTATCAAAAGACTTTGCTAACAAAAATACACTGTACTCGGAACAAACCAAAATGGGGGGGGGGGGGGGTAATATGAAGTTGAGGAATATCTGCCCCAGCATTACGATGGTTGTCAGTTTTCCCAAGTTTTACTGGGTAAAAAGGGGGTCTAGCTAACAGTAGGAGCCAACAGTGCCTTGTTAACATGCTTATGACCCCCCCACCCTTCCCCCAAACACACACAGATTGATTGGTGGCCATCCACTGGGAACCTCTCCTCTACTGAAAGAAGCAGTGTCTGTACAGAAGCACCAGGAGGGACTGGGAACTCCACGGCTCCTGAAGGATTCGAGCACAGGTCAGCCTGTTCTCGGAACGCTGACCATGGTTTTCATCAGGTTGAGGGCGGCCTCAAGGCTTGACTTCCCTAGAGACACAAAGGCCAACACTGGCCTGTTTTCATAAATAAAATAACCCGATGAGATTGTTCAAGAAAGGAAACCGGAGACCCCTGGCGGGATGGGGGGGAAAACTGCTAGAAGAGGGGAAGGCCGTTCTTGAGGTAACAACGGAGGCTTCCAGGGCCTGACCTCAGAGAGCCACGGAGTGAGGGTTCTTGCAGGGCTGTCGACGTGGTGCGTGCCCGCAATGCCCGCCTGCCCGAGGCGTCCCACCGCTTGAGGGGGTGAGGGCAGGGATCGCGTCACTCGGGCCACGCCTGCAGCCGAGGAAGGGGGGGGGGAGGCTTTCCCAGTGGATCTGCCCTCTGCTTCTGGACCAAAAAAAAATAAAAAATCACACACCAAACACCTCATGCGTGGTTAAGGCAGAGCACCCGTTCAAACTGTACCAAAGTCTGAACACTCATGCGGGCAGAGTCCCCATGTGAGCACCGTAGCTGCAATCCTGCTGGGGCGGCGGTGGCGGCGAGGTGAGCGTTTACCGGTTTGCAATATGCATTACGTCTTGACGATCTGCGACCGACCCCAGACACCCCCCCCCCACTCCTGTGGCACTGCGAACACCAGCCAGTTCCATCAGTGCGTCGAGAGGAGCAGGCGGAATAAATAAGAAGCCAGACGGTGGCAGGCAAAGGGAATGTGGCTTGGTGCCGGTCATCCCACCAGGTAAGCACCAAACAGGTTCGAACATCAGAGGCACGATTGTTCAATAGCACCACGGGGAGCTGTCGGTGGAGGGGGAGGGGACATCTCTGCTGGTGTGCCAGTCCTTTATTTCACTCGGAGAGATTGCTTATTACGTCGTCTTCTCTCTCTCTCTCTCTTTTTTAAAACCCCTGTGACTCCAGGCAGAACAGAATAGCCAAAAAAATTGCATGTGTGTTTTAACATTTAAAAAATATATAAATATCTAAACTATCAACAATACAAACTGGAGCAATTTCCATGCATTTTCTTCTGCAGTTTGAATATATATATGTATATATATATATATATATATTTTAACTTAGATTCACAGTAGCATTATCTTTCCTCTGTTTTTATGACTATGATGTTGCTTTTTTTTTTTTTTGCCCAGTGGTGAGCAAGAAAGAGAAGGGAAAAGGGGGGAAAAAGGAGAAAAGGAAGGGCGGGGAGAGGGAAAGCAGAAACCCAAAAGCAATCCAGGTGAGCACCTTCAGTGGAAACAGAGAGAAGTTGGTCCATGTTGTCGTTGCATAGGTCATGTTTGGTTGAGGTAGAAATCCTAGTTACCTGCAACACAGGAACAAAGGGGGGTGGGGGTGGGAAGAGACGGAAGAGGGGATGCTGTTTAGTTTGGGATTTGGCATTTCCACTCAAAGCATCATCATCAGCCATGGCCACGTGCAACTCGGTAGCGTTCCCAGTTCCCGTGCAAGTGCTGCGTGGCGACCTTCCCTTGCCTTGTGCAGTTAGAGTGACCTCCAGACTAAGTTGGAGACCGTTTTGTAACTGAATGTGGGTCCCCTCTTCACCCCTTTATGTGCCCTGGATTGGAAGTAATTCCAGTGAACCTGTCTGCCGACCGGCACAACAAAATACAAAGGTTTGCCCGTTAAGATGAAGCAGAGAGAGACTTTGGGTGGCTCCCTTTCACAGGTCCTTTCCGCACTGGACCTTAAATCCTGCTTCAACCCTGTCCCCAAACTTATATTCTACACTACACGCGAGCTGCGGTGGCTCAAGTGGTTAAGACGCTGAACTGCAGGCTGTGGAAGGTCAGTAGTTCAGCAGTTCGAGACCTTAGTTGCCACATGACGGAGTGAGCTCCCGTCTCGTTCCAGCTCCTGCTAACCTAGCAGTTCGAAAGCAAGAAATTGCAAGTAGATAAATAGATACCACTTCGGTGGGAAGGTAACAGCATTCCGTACGCCTTGGTGTTTAGTCATGCCGGCCACATGACCACGGAAACCTCTTCGGATAGCGCTGGCTCTTCGGCTTTGAAACGGAGATGAGCACCGCAACCCTAGAGTCGGATTCGACTGGCTTTCGAGCAAGGGAACCTTTACCTTACCTTTACACGCGAGTTCACCCCTGTAATTATCTCGGGGTATTTTAAAATTGTACACTACACGCGAGTTCACCCCATGTAATTTTCTTGGGGTATTTTTTGTTTCCACATTACACTGAGGTCACCCCGGTTTTGCCCCACACTTGTCCCGGGATAAACGGATGCCGTTACAACCAGGGATAAATGCAAGGTATGGTGTCGCAAGCTGAACTCTGATCAAACCAGGGATGAGATTCCAAGTGCGGAAAGGGCCACACACAGATTTCTCCACTCACAGGAAAACTGTGTGGCCCAGTTCAATGAGGGAGGACTCTGTTCAAATCCCACCTTGCCCTGTGGAACAAAAGTCTGCATGGCCAATATTCTTGGGAGTCTGGCTGAACCAGTTGAGGGAAACCTGGGACCCAGCTCCGAAGGCTTAGATCGTCACATCTGCAGCAGCTTTATGTCACAGACTCGTCTAAGATGAAGGACTGTCAGTTCTCATATCCACGGGCTAACCACGGAAGGCATCTCCCCCCCACCCGCATGTGGAATTCTTCCACTAGAGAGGCTGGGGAAAAGAACCTGGGACCTTGTGCACGCAAAGCAGGTGTCTGCAACTAGGCTGCAGAGCTTGTGCTCCTGAACTTCTCGGGGGTGAAGCCATGTTGGTCAAATAAAGGCAGGGCTCTTTTTGTAGAAAAAGCCCAGCAGGAACTCATTAGCATAATAGGCCATACCCAACAGCAGAAACTCATTAGTCTATTAGGCCACACCCCTGACAGCACAGCCCATTCGCATATTAGGCCACACCCCCATGTTACCAGAAGTGTGGTCATCCAGCCACACCCACCTTTTGCTTTTTATTCTGCTTACCGTTTGTTGTCAAAACCCAGGGCTTTTTTTGTAGCAGGAACTCCTTTGCATGTTAGGCCACACACCCCTAATGTAGCCAATCCTAATGAGTTTCTGCTGTTGGGTGTGGCCTATTACGCTAATGAGTTCCTGCTGGGCGTGGCCAACTCAGGAGCCAGCCGGAACTCCATTCCTGTGCGTTCCTGCCCAAAAATAGCCCTGAATAAAGGTAAAGGTTTCCCTTGCTTGAAAGCCAGTCGAATCCAACTCTAGGGGGCGGTGCTCATCTCTGTTTCCAAGCTGAAGAGCCAGCACTGTCCGAAGACTTCTCCGTGGTCATGTGGCCGGCATGACTAAACGCCGAGGCGCACGGGATGCTGTTACCTTCCCACCGAAGTGGTACCTATTTATCTACTTGCAGTTTCTTGCTTTCGAACTGCTAGGTTGGCAGGAGCTGGGGCCAGAGACGGGAGCTCACTCCATCATGCGGCACACTCGGGTCTCGAACTGCTGAACTACAGACCTTCCGGTCTGCAATTCAGTGTCTTAACCTCTGAGCCACCACGGCCCCATATACACACGCCTTATAAAGAGTCGGACCCCTGGTTCGGCTAGCTCAGTGTTGCCTTCTTCTGCTTGGCAAGGGTTCTCCTCCAAGACCTCAGGCAGGTGAAAGATCTTTCCCAGTACCTGTTATTTGAGCTTTCCACTTGGAAATACTGGAACCTGGGGGGTGGGGGGTGTCATCTATGCACAAATCACGGACTCGGTTACTCAGCTACAACCCTTCCGAGTCCTGATGCTTAAGGTTCTGCCACAGAGCCATGACGGCAACCTACCTTCAGCAAGAATTCGAGTCCACCAGCGCCACAAAGCCCAACAACATTTCCAGGGTACTAAGCTTCCGAGAGTCAGGTAGGGTAGCTGATGAAGAGAGCTCTGACTCAGACTTTAGCGGTAGAAAGCGCTGTCAACTTGCAAATGACTTGCGGTAACCCCCCATAAGGTTTCCAAGGCAAGAGTCATTCAGAAGCGGTTTTGCCACTGCCTGCCTCTGCGTAGCAACCCTGGTATTCCTTGGAGGTCTCCCTTCCAAGTACCAAATAGGGACGACCCTGCTTAGCTTCCGAGAGCTGATGAGAGCAGGCTAGCCTGGGCAGAGGCAGAGGCAAACAAAAGGCGGCTTACTATTGCCTGCCTCTGCGTTGCGACCCTGGACTTCCTTGGTGGCCTCTCGCCCAAACCCAAACCTGCTCAGCTTCCGAGCTCTGATGAGACCGGCCTAGCCAGCTTGGTGTAGTGGTTAGGGGCGTGGACTCTAATCTGGGAGAACCGGGTTTGATTCCCCACTTCTCCACGTGCACCTGCTGGTGTGACCTTGGGTCAGCCACAAGTTCTCTCAGAGCTGTTCTCTCACGAGCCGTTCTCGAGAGAGAGCTCTCTCAGCCCCGCCTACCTCCCGGGGTGCCTGTTGTGGGGAGGGGAAGGGAAAGGAGACTGTGAGCCGCTCTGAGACTACTTCGGGTAGTGAAGGGTGGGGTATAAATCTGACCTCTTCTTCTAGCCTGGGCCATCCAGCTTGAAACCTGAGACTCTGGGAGCGTTGCTGGTCTTTAAGGTGCTGCCGGACTCGATGCTGGCTCTTCCCCCGCGGACGAACACGGCCACCCACCCAAAACAGCCCGCTTTGAAAGAATGGCCCGTCCTACGTTCACACAGAGAAGATCCACCAGGTGCTAAAAAGCAGCAAAAGCAATCCCTGAGTGGGAAGCCACAACAGTCTGCCTCTTTGCCCAAGCGTCTCTCCCTGCCCAGCCCCAGCCCCTGCGCGAGCCTTACCTTACAAAGCATGGACACTTAAGTTCAAGCCAAGCTCCTTATCCCGGTTTGACCCCAGAGAGGTGTGAAGCGTAAGGAGGCTGCATGCCAAGGGTGACCCACATAGCAGGCGTGGCGGCGGTGCTGGGCTGCGGGTTTGCGGGTGCGGCCTGCGCCATGCGGGGCAGAGGCGGGTGGTGGATGGTAAAGGTGGGGCGGGAGGCTTTGTGCTGGAGAGAGGCGAGCTTAATAGACAGAGCGGTGTTAGCGGTGGAGGAGGGCGGCAGGAAAGCCTCGGGGGCCGGGAGAGAGGACAGGCTCTGCAGGAGGACGGACGACTCGGAGTTAGAGCCCAGGAGGGGGGGGAGAGGTGGGAGCGAGACGTTTGGAGGGGGGGGAGGAGGCGTGAGATGAGAGGACTGTGCCGCCGCCCGGGGGAGGTGCTGAGCCGGCTGGGCCTCGCCGGAGGTCGCCACGTGAGGGGCCGCGTGGAAAGAGGACATGCCGGCCGCCACCTGCAGAGGATTCAAGTTTAACACTGCACAGCTGGAAACGGCGCTGTTGCTAAGGGTGGGGCCAAAGTGAAGAGGAGCGGAGGAGGAGAAGGAAGGAATGGAAGGAGAGGGCGTGGAGGAGGAGGAGGAGGAGGCACAAGGCACCACATGGTTAAAAATACCTGCAAACGGGAGAGAAAGAAAAAACAAAAACACAAACACAAAAACCCCTCAGCTTCAGCAGATGGACTTGGTTACGTTCACAGTGAGCAAAGCAAAAACCGAAAAAAAGCAAAGCAGGGGGGGGGGGGGGGGGGGAGAATAAAAACAGCAGCAGCCACACAGCCTGATGTACAATATGCGGTATGAACACAGCGGCAGGCAATGAATAAGCAATGGCGTGAAAATCCAGGTGGACGCCACTTACCTGCCTTCCTGTCTGCTAGCCGGGAGGAATGGCTGGACCCAAGACTCAACGTGACCCTCCTTCGAGAGCAACCTTTCTTTCAGCCACGGTCGCCTGCCTGAACTGAGAGCTTACGGTCCCCTTGCCTCACTGACTGCAACACCTATTTACATTTCTGTTCTTTCTACCCTAGTCATCTTTAGAGAAACCTGCCATACGGGCAACATCTGAGAGTGAAAGGGAACTCATCAACACCTCAGTCTTGTGCCAGTGAAACTGACGAACTTACTTAGCGACTTTCAACTGGAGATTACCCTTATAAAGTCCTACAAGAATCTAAGAGTAGAACTCTGATTCAGAACAGAGCCACATTATTGGCGGACAATACGGTGTCCTCAGCAAGTAATAGTATGCAGTATGCAATTTACTAACTTGGCATCAGCCATTAGTAAAATTATACAGAGGCATTGGCGTATTTTAAGCGATATACTTTGGAGCCGGTTAAAACTTTGGGTGACATACAGAAGAACAGAATTTCTAAAGACATGCTAGTACATTCTGATACCCTTTGTGATATTCCTAGGGAACTATCTTCTTTATCACAGGGCATGTTCCGTTGTGGTAGATGTGCAGCTTGTAAAATGGTTTTGGTGACCTTTAACACAGACCTCCCAAATGGAAGAAAATTCATTTTAAAAGGTTCCCCCCCCCCGTACTTCTAAACGGGCCATCTACTGTATTTTCTACCCATGTTCTTTGATTTACATTGGATGCTCCATGAGAGGAATAAAAACCAGGGTACTGGAGCATAGATCTCAGGTGGAACATGGTTTTATGGACGCCCCACTTACAAGCCATTATTGAACTATGAATCATTCCCATGATGACTTACAAGTTTTCAGTGTTAAGGAGCCACTCTTACAATAGGATAGATGCTCAAGAAATTCTTTACGAACAGGAGGCACGTTTTATTCACCTATTTAAGTCCCTAGAATCCACAGGTCTTAATCAACATAATGACTTGTCCTGTCTTCTTTAATGATGCCTTTATCCCCTTTAAGACATCTGCGATGCCACTACAATCAGACACAGCTGGGACAATTTCCCCTTTACTTAACCATGCCACTAGTTGGAATGTCTAACTTAAGAGTCTTTTTGCCTGCTAGACTTGATAACGTTGAGTTGTGAATTTGCTAAGAGGCCTTGGACTCCACTTAGTAAGAAATAGCATTTTGATTTGTGCATGGTCACTGTAAGTATAGTCTATTGAGTCTTAAGCGTGTCTGCAAGATTTAAAACTTTTCTTTGCAAGGCGTTGCAGTTCCTTTGGGTTTTTTTGTATTTTCATCCACAGGCACCTACCTTGACTCACTATACCCTTTGATGAAGGATCGTCTTCGAAACGGTCTTAAGATGACGTATGCTACCGTCGGGATATACCAGACAGTATTTTCTCTATGGACTGTTATTTCCCCTCGGAGGGCTTGTGCTTGTGGACTATTTTGGACTGTACCACTTTAAGTATCATCAGTCTGCCGTTTACGTGACTGTATGATGTGCATTACGTTCTTTTGAATATTCTTTTGAAATGCTGTATATGTTTACATATTCAATATATGCCTATGAGTATTGCTACTTGCCTTAAAAAATTGGGGGGGGGGAGTTTCTACCTTTTCATCCCTTGACAGGGGCAGCTGCTGAGGATCTCCAGGCACTCAGATCTACCTGTCTCCTCTGACAATATGCTTTGGTACCCCAGGAGCTGTGGCATTTGGGCTTGCCAGCACTCTCGGGAATTAGTTGTTGTAGATTATCCGGGTTATTGTTGCTGTAGATGTTTCCGGGTTGCCCTACCCCACCTTCCGGAGTAGATATATAAATTACTTGCCTACCATTTTTTCTTCTCACCTTGACACAGAGAGTACTCCATCTTTCTGTGTCATACCGCTGAGGATGCCAGTCACCGCTACTGGCGAAACGTCAGGTCCTACAATGCCAAGACCACGGCCACACAACCCGGAAAATCTACAGCAGCTAATGAATTCCGGCTGTGAGAGCCTTTGACAACATACTCTTGGGTATGCTTAAGAGCCAGCCCTCTCGCTCTCCCCAGCCCAAGCCAAATGTCTGCAGAGCGAGAGCCAACACTGAGAGCTGCTGCTCCTGCATAGAGCGTCAACTTCAGAGTGTGCTCCTTCCTCCCCCCCAAAAAAAAATCTGCAGGGAGCACCCAGTCTCCACAGCAGATATTCACAGGCTGCTGGGCCAAAAAGCGGAGACGGGAGAAGGATTCAAAGTGTTTTGCCTTGGAGGGAAAAATGCTCAAAAGGGACTGACACCCCACTCTTCAAAGCCCCTGAAGTGCAAAGAAAGACCCCTCCCCCCCGAGGGCACACCTACCTCCAACTGTTCCACCTGTAACCCCGGGAGAGAAGCTCCCCATGGCATGCGAGTTGGTCAGGCGCGTCGCCGCCGATGACACGTGGACCAGGCCGGCGGCAGCGGCGGCCGGCATCGAGTTAAATAAGGACTGCAGGACCGAGGAGTTTGTCACAGAGTTGAGGTTCGCTTGCAAGGCCATGGAGCCGAGGGGGAACTGCGAGCTGGCGGCCAAGGAGTTCAAGAAGGAGTGGTGCGCCTGAGCGGGGGCGGCCGAACCGGCCGGGTTACCGGCGGCGGCCGCGGAAAGGCTTTTGCCGTTGAGAAGGCCCCCGGAAGGCACGGCGGCCGCGGCGGAGATGAAGAGATTGTGGCCGTTCTTGAGCTCCGCCTCCCGCCCTTTGCCAGCTTTGCCGTTGTGGAGCGCCAAGGCCTTTTCCGAAGCACCCCCCAGCCGGACACTCGGTTCGCTGGCCTCTTTGCCTTTGGCCCCCGGCCAGCCGATGTCTTCCCCTTTCACGGTGCTCAGGCTTTCTAGCTGCCTTTTACTCAAGAAGGGGTTTGCCTCCGAGACCCCGGAGTCTCTGTTCCGCTGCACCAGGAACCCCAGCGAGGAGCTCCCCAGTGCCGCCACCTCGGTGGGTTTATGCGGGAGCGAAGCACCGTCGATAAAGCTATGTAAACCAATGTCTGCCGACAGCCCGCCGTTGTAAGCAAACCCGTTCGTGGAACTGCCGCTCTGGCCGAGGCCCTCGGCCCCGGTGACGGACACGGCGGCGTGCTTCCTCGAGTGGGCCTTGGGACCGTCGCCCGTGTCCTCCGCGGAGGGCCTGAAGGCGAAGAAGGAGTTCTGGCTCAGGGACGATGCCGCCTGCAGGGGGCTATCTGCCGTTTTGGTCAGGTTGATGTCCGAGATTGGAGAGAAGGTGGACTTCCATTTGCTGCTGTTCATGTTTTCGCTGGCTTGCTTTCTCCCAGCTAAGCCGATGCCTGTATGGCAAGGAGAAAGTTGGGGGCAGAAAGTCAGCAAGCAAGGAAGTCAGCAAGGCCCTGGGGTCTGCACCAAACCTTTTGTGTTTCGAAAGGGGGTTAACAGTCATTAACAGGACTGCCCTTCGCTAATCGGGGGTGACCCAAATGTTCTGTTCAGACCTCTGTTTTGCCACACTAGATGGCACGGGGTTGACCAGGTCAACAGAAAGCAGCCTCTGAATACATCAGTAAAAATGTGCGGTGCGACCCCTGCTTGATCGGCTCAGGGTCCTCTTAGCCCAGCATCCTGTTTCCAGCTAGGCAGAAGCCTCTGGGAAGGAGCAATCTTCCCCCCCCCCCCAAGCACCTGGTATTCAGCAACTGAGCATGAAGGTTTTTCCTTTCTCATGACCATGGCTAATGGCCCTCAGACCTCTCCTCCCCAAAAACGTACTTCATCCACACGTCAGCAACCACTTATGGTGCAAGGACCAGACATAATACAAGGTGTCATGATGTGGGCTGTGCCACCAAAGGCCTACTAGGCCCAGGGAGCCTGGCTAGCAGTAGATGAGGCTAGGCCTACAACTCCCAGAAGCCCCTGAGGGGTTTTGGAGCCAAAATTGACCAACAGGAAAAGAGGAGGGCTTGGAATAAAAGATCTGGAGCAGCAGGAAAAGCTATTCTTCTTACCAGAGGGCAGAGCCAGAAGGAAGGCTGCTGCGGGAAGAAACCCACATCCTGAGGGAAGGGTGAGTAGTCTAAGGCCACTGCAGATAGTGAGCTAGGGACAGTATATATTTAGACGCGTTAGGGCATTTGATTTCTTTTCTTTTCGCCCACTTACTGTTATAATTCTGCACCTTGTTTGTTTGACCTCCTATAAAATAAACTATTTTATTGTTCACTCGGCCTGGTCCTCACGCCTATTATTTGGCCAAAAGGGAAGTCAGAAGGTCTTGGGAGGGTGCTCTGGGCCTTCTCAAGGGAGCCTGGAACCAGAGTGGTGGCAGCGTCAGGTGACACCCCACCTGAGCCGTGACACAAGGGTACTACTGTACACAGGAACTTATGCAGGTCCATCCAGCCCAAATATTTTGCTGAAAGCAGTAGCCTGCCATCGTTCATTCTATGTATTACACTGTTTCTCCTACATTGCTCTCTGGTCGTCGGAATCTTGGTTCTATTGTACACATTACATTGCTTGGGAGCAGAAGTAGAGTCCGGGGGCACCTTGAAGACCAACGAAGGTGCATTCAAGGTATGAGCTCTCGTAGGCAAGGCACACTTGTTCAAATACATGTATCTGAAAAAGTGTGCCTTGCACACGAAAGCTCTTACCTTTGTTGGTCTTGAAGGTGCCACTGGACTTCAACTTTGTTCTACTGCTTCAGACCAACACGGCTGCACCACCTGGATCTACAATGCTTTGGGTTGGTTTGTTTTTTCTGAATCATCTACTATATCGTGAGGGTTTTCCCCTCCTTTTGATCAATGCGCCCTCTAAGCTGTGGAGTCTTGTGAGAAAAAATTCTACTTTCTGAGCAACTGGCATTAAAGTTGTGAGCCAGCGATTTGGCTACTGCATAAATTAGTGTGCTCTGGAGCCATCCCTTCCTGAGCTAAGACAACAATCTGTGAGCTGGAGGCTAAAAAACTGTGAGCTAGCTCACACTAACTCAGCTTAGAGGGAACACAGCTTTTGATTATCTTTATGCACCTTGAGTATCAGTGAGAAAGGGAGGCTATAAAGAAAGTAAATAAATAAATCTCCTCCTCCGTAAATGTAATTAAACCTGCGTTTTAGTTGCCACTCAAGCTAGTGGCCAACACCGCATCCCGTAGCAGCAAACGCCGCCAATTAAGTACGTGCTGAAGTGCATTCCTGTGTCCGCCCTCAACATGGCTGCTTGCCTCCTTGCCACGTAAATGGGGACTTCACATGACCCGTTTAAACAGCCGTGGTAGGATCGGCTGAGTTCCCACCCATGGGTGCTGCTAGGCAACGATCTGCCAGTAACCAATGGAATGACTGGAATTTTCAGATATTCAGGTTATTATTAATGGATCACCGCAGCTGTATGAACCAGTGCGAGACCAATAAGCGCTTCAAATTATCTCACGTTCAGCCTTAAAGACATTCAGGTATTCAGAGATCCCCACCAGAAGTATCACATGGCACTGTCTAGGGAGAAAAATCAGAACCTTTCTATATTTTATCGATAGCTAGATAGCCCAGGCTTGCCTGACCTCATCGGATCTCAGAAGCTAAGGAAGGTCAGCCCTGGCTGGTACTTGGATGGGAGACAAGTGACAACCAAAGAAGTACAGGATAGTGTTCCCTCTAAGCTGAGTCAGTGTGAGCTAGCTCACAGTTTTTTAGCTTCCAGCTCACCCATTTTTGTCTTAGCTCAGGAAGGAGGGCTCCAGAGCAAACTGATTTACACAGTAGCCAAATCGCTCGCTCCCAACTTTAGTGCCAGTAGCTCACAAGGTAGAATGTTTGCTCACAAGACTCCACAGCTTGGAGGGAGCAGTGTTCCAGGGTCGCTTCGCAGAGGCAGGCGATGGCAAAACCACCTCTGAACGTCCCTTGCCTGGAAAACCCTGCAGGGTCGACAAAAGTCAGCTGTGACTTGCAAAAAGCAACAAATCGATAGCTCTTTTTCAACCCAGAGACCGTAAGAACTAGTCCTGCCGCGGGGTCACGGGCATAAGGCAGGGACCGGTGTTCATTTGGGATGTTGGAAACCTTGGTTCATATCCCAAGTACGAGCACAGGCAAGTCCAGCTCCTACCTCACAAGGGAGGCTAGCTAGAATGGGGGGGGGGGAGAGAGAAAGAGAATCCTCGGAAAGGCACTGAGATTCACGCGCAGGGGCTTCAAAAGCTCAGTAGCTGCTGATGTCTTTAGCGAACGCCCCACAGCTCAGCAGTGTATAGCGCATGCCTTGACTGTGGATGGTCCCAGGTTTAGTCCTCCATCACATTCCTTCATAAATGGAGAAGAGACCTGTGTACGGTCAGGGGAGTGCCTTAGAAGAAGGGGGGGTGTTGGGAAAGACCCCCCCTCTACCTAAGACCCCTGTAGGGCCAAGGCCCACCAGAACTGGCAGAGGTCAGCTAGAGGGGCCAATGGTCTGGCTCCGCGCCAGGCAGCTTCATCGCTGTAAAATACTGGTCCTGACAGATGCTGCCATCTCTTTCAGTGCTAAGCTCAGCTCTGCATCCTGTGACCACAATGGCTAACAGGAGACTGGGTGGCGGGGGTGGCTTTGAGTGAAGCTGAAGAAGTAGGCTGCCCACCACGCTTAGAGATGCAGAATTTTAAGTGTGATTAAGAACATAAGGGAAGCCAATGTTGGATCAAGCCAATGGCCCATCCAGTCCAACACTCTGTCAGACAGTGGCAAAAAACACCAGGTGCCATCAGGAGGTCCACCAGTGGGGCCAGGACACTAGGAGCCCTCCCACTGTTGCCCCCCCCCCCCAAAGATGCAGAACAAAGAAAACCCCGCTCCCCAGATATAAGAACATCAGAGAAGCCAACGCTGGATCAGGCCAAAGGCCCATCCAGTCCAACACTCTGTCACACAGTACCCAAAAATATCAGGTGCTATCAGGAGGTCCATCAGTGGGGCCAGGACACTAGAAAGCCCAGAACCCAAAAGCCCCCCCCCTCTTGCCCCCCCCCCCCGAAGCACCAAGAATACAGAGCATCCCTGCCCCAGCCTGAGAGTTCCTATCTATACCTTGTGGCTAATAGCAACTGATGGACCTCTGCTCCATGTGTTTATCCAAGTTCCCTCTTGAAGCTGTCCATGCTTGTAGCCGCCGCCACTTCCAGTGGCAGTGAATTCCATGTGTTAATCACTCTTTGGGTGAATTGAGGAGGGGAAGCACAGAGCCACTGGGGCACTCAGGCCCCGAGAGCTCACAGAGTCCTGGAGAGGAGATCTGGGGACAGGCAGGCAGGCAGGCAGGCATGTTCCAAAGAGAGGATTCCTGTTCCTGCACATATACACAATTCCTCACAGGCTCCCAAGCCTGCAAATGGCTGTGAGAAGCTGCGGGGCACACGCAGGGTGCCTGTTTCGCAACAGTACCCTCACGGTAACTCTCGGCAAACACAGCAAAGAACAGGAGCAAGGGTCATCTCAGAGTTATACCATTTGGGGGGTGGGTGGGAAATCCCACGTGGGCTTACCTGCACCCGCTGTCCTTCTGAGCAGTCTCATCTGTGTCTTCACGCTGATAGGCTTTGTGCCTGAGCAGAGCAGCAATTTGGAGATTTCCTGAGCTAGCTTTCTCGGCGCGAAGACCTCCCCCCCAGATGCCACCTTGGATGGTGCGTGCCCCCAAGGGGGAGGTGTCACACCTTCCTGCTCCGTTTCCCTCAGTCCCTCTTTGTCCTTGGCAGCCAAACAGCAGTGATCTGGAGCTTCTGCAGGCGATTCTCCCCACCCCCAGCTAGTTTTGAGTGACAGCTCGTTTCCACACACACACACACACCCCGTCTATCTCAAGTATCTCTCTGCTATGTAAAGGCTGAACATCAGGAGGAAGATCTTCAAGATCTCTGTTTAGTGTGAGAGCCAGTTTGGTGTAGTGGTTAAGTGCGCGGACTCTAATCTGGGAGAACCGGGTTTGATTCTCCACTCCTCCACTTGCACCTGGCTGGATGACCTTGGGCAAGCCCTAGTTCTGATAAGAGCTGTCCTTGAAAAAGAGCAGTTTCTGCCAGAGCTTTCTCAGCCACACCTCCCTCACAGGGGGTCTGCTGTGGGGAGGGGAAGGGAAAGGACTTTGTAAGCCGCTCTAAGACACCTTTCGGTAGTGAAGGGCGGGGTATAAATCCAATCTCTTCTCTTCTTCTTCTCTGTCCTCACTGACCCCTCCCATCTCGACCCTGGATTCTATGAAGGTGGCTCAGTACTGACCCCTGCTGGTGCTGCCTGCCGTTAGGTTTCCAGTGCCAACAACCCCCTGTCCTCAGTCAGAGACCGGATGGACGGCTCGATATTCCAACTGGTTTGCTCTACTACAACCCTCCAGCTTCACTCCTCCTGGAACTGAACTGGCCGTTGGTCGGGATCAGTGGTAACGACAGGACCACGAGAGTTCATCCTACGAATGCAGACATCAGCTCCAATCCCGACTGCGTTGGCTTCAGCATCCAGGCCACCTAAAGAGACCGCTGCGTCTGCCACAGAGATGGCCTCTTCCCTTTTCGCCTCCCACGGTGAGTGAGCTACCACACCTGAGACGGTCACCCGTGCTTCCCAACCCCCTTCTGCTGCTCCCTCAATCTCCTTCAAAACGTCTATGCAGCGCCGTGTCTAGTTACTTCCGACGTGCCCCGGAAGGGACTTTATCACCTTGGCGACGTTGGAGTGATGCTCTGGTATTTGGACAAAAAAGTCTATGGTAGAAGCCAAATGTACCATAGAGTTTTTGTCCAAATACCAAAGCATTCCCCTGACATCACCGTGTGATGACATCACTTCCGGGTCATGTGACGCAGACGAGTCACTGCAACGTCGGCTGGGCCTCCGTCCCACTACGTCCTCCACCCATTCCCCCACCAGTTGCCGGCCTTGCAGGACTCTGCGGCCCATCCTTCCTGTATCACTCTCCTTTTCTATCTAACCTATCACTCTCCTTTTCTATCTAACCTAACAGATGTGGGCCTAGAAGACTGCGTCAACCTCTCCCCACCTTCCTGGAAAGTTGAGACGTTCCGCCATGTCCAGTCCTTCAGACTCTTGCGGTGACAGATCCAGCTAGCTCGAGATATTTCCAAACTGCCGCTCTGTGCAGGCACAAAACCTGTAAGCCTGAGGCACGCAGACCACGAAGAAGCAACGCTCCAGTTCTAGGGGGACACAAGCCAACCCTTCCATACTTACTGCTCTCCATTGGCTTTTGTGGAGATTTGCTGTCCAGTGATATCGTTGCGATTTTTCTTTCAATTCTAAGGGGGAAAAGGGAGCGGGAGACATTACTTCACAATGCTGTTTTGCCTTGATGCACTTAGCTATCCATCAGGGCTCTTTTTGTAGAAAAAGCCCAGCAGGAACTCATTAGCATAATAGGCCACACCCAACACCAGAAACTCATTAGCATATTAGGCCACAGCCCTGCCAGCACAGCTCATTAGCACATTAGGCCGCACCCCCATGTTACCAGAAGTGTGGTTATCCAGCTACACCCACCTTTTGCTTGTTATTCTGTTTACCTTGTTTGTTGTCAAAAACCAGGGCTTTTTTGTAGCAGGAACTCCTTTGCATGTTAGGCCACACACCCCTAATGAAGCCAATCCTAATGGATTTCTGCTGTTGGGTGCGGCCTATTATGCTAATGAGTTCCTGCTGGGCATGGCCAACTCTGGAGCCAGCCGGAACTCCGTTCCTGTGCGTTCCTGCCCAAAAATAGCCCTGGCTATCCTCAAACCCAAGGAAATGTTGAAAACATTCATTCTCTTTCTCCATTTCTTTTTTTTTTTAATGAAAGGAAGGGCAGTTATTTCATAGCATGCAACAGACCGGAAATAAAGGATGATCCCAGTTTTTTAAAGTTCTGCTAAATCAGCTATGAGACGTATGCTGCCAGGACAGCTGTGTGCTAGCTAAAGAGGAAAAGCAAAAGACATTCTTCTTTGCAGAAAAAGCAAAACAAAGTTTGAGTCCAGGGGCACCTTTAAGACCATCAAAGTTTTATTCAAGGTATGAGCTTTTGTGTGCATGCACACTTCGTCAGATACAATACAGTGGAAAATACCAGTCTATACATATAGGTAGAGGGTGAGCAGTAAATTAGAACGCAACATAATAAAGCTGTTTAACAGATCCAGGAATAACAAACTTAAGTTTCTATGGTTACCATTTGTTTGGATTCAGTTCCGGGAGAAAAAACATAGTGAAGGAAATAAATATGTCTAAATTGGAGACTGGTGTGTCCTTAATAGTGGAGTGTTGCATGCTAATTTACTGCTCACCCTCTTCCATTTCATTGTATCTGAAGAAGCGTGCGTGCACATGAAAGCTCACACCTTGAATAAAACTTTGTTGGTCTTAAAGGTGCCCACTGGGACTCAGACTTCGTTTTGCTGCTTCAGCCCAACATGGTTATCCACCTGAATCTATCTGCAGGAAAAGGGTCTGCTTTATTTTAACAGGGATATAAAGACATTCATTGGGGGAATGTCTCAACTTTTAATATACAATGCTAGAGTTTTTTCCCCCCAAAAGTCTACTGTAGACAGAAACAATATGAATCTCCTACATCCAGCCGACTCCTCCTTCATAAGAAGAGCTCTGCTGGATCAGACCAATAGTCCATTTAGGTCAGCATCCTGTCTCACACAGTGGCCAACCAGTTCCTCTGGACTGCCAACAACAGGGCAGGCCTTCCCTGATAAGAACATAAAAAGAGCCCTGCTGGATCAGACCAGTGGTCCATCTAGTCCAGCATCCTGTCTCACACAGTGGCCAACCAGTTCCTCTGGAGGGCCAACAACAGGGCAGAGAGGTCGAGGCCTTCCCCTGGTAAGAACATCAGAGGAGCCCTGCTGGATCAGACCAGTGGTCCATATAGTCCAGCATCCTATCTCACACAGTAGCCAACCAGTTCCTCTGGAGGGCCAGCAGCAGGGCAGAGAGGCTGAGGCCTTCTCCTGATGTTGCCTCCTGGCTCTGGGATTCAGAGGATCTGTGCCTCTGAATGTGGAGGTCCCCCTCAGTCATCATGGCTAGTAGACGTGTCCTCCGTGAATCCGTCTAATCTCCTTCCTGTGACCATCACAACATCCTCTGGCAGCGAACTCTAGATTCCCTTTTCTCCATCCAAAACCTACTGCCCATCAACTTCACTGGATGCCCTCGAGTTCTAGTATTTTGGGAGAGGGAGAAAAATTTCTCTTCCTCAACTCTCTTCACCCCATACATAATTTTGCTTTAGGAAATGAAGGGCTCTTAGACCAATCCCGTGTAGGGCGTTCCCTTCTTTTCGGTTGGTTGGCTTTGTTTAAAAACAAACTGCAAAAACCTTTTAGCAAACTAATGTGTTCTATTTATGGTCATCATTTAGTCAAGTGCATAGTGTATCAGTATTTAATATAACCGCACCTCTTTTAAATAGTCTTTTGTAGGACCTGCAAAAAGCATCCATACAAGAAGGCTGTCCCCCTTTTTGGAAGACTTCATGCAAGGAGAAGTGGGCTTATTATTCTAGAAACTCCCATTGGGGGTTGACTTTTAAAACACTGATGCAAAATTGTCTGGTAGTTAGCAATCTGTATGTATTGGGTGTTATTGCTTATTGAATGTAATGAGTAGTTATACCTGACTAGGATGAAATAATGACATACTATGCAGTTTACTAAATGATGACCACAAATAGAACACATTAGTTTGCTAAAAGGTTTTTGCAGTGTATATTTATTTGTTACTGGACTCTCCTAAAACTGCAGCTCGGGTTGCTTCAGTTTGTTTTAAAACAGCCTGGTCCTTTCCAAATGCTGCTCTGCAAAAGGAAATGCAGAAAGTAGAGCAAGCCAACGTGGGAAGCAGCACGGGAGTGCCGGGGGGGAGCTCCTCTCTTGGTACGGTCCAGATGGAAAAGGTCTGATCCAATCCTTTTAAATGCTTCAGGGAGGAATGCAAGGATTAGATGCGGCGTACACAAACCTCCCCACCCCCGCTCACCGGGTGCTGTTGTGGTCGTCCTCCAAGCCCTGCTCCTCGTCAGAAGTCAGTGGCGAGTAGTGGATCCCGTTGGTCTGAATGAGGGGCTTCTCCTTCTTCAGCACCGGGGGCTGATCGTTGTCCTGGTACGGGACAGGAGAGTTCTTCAGGGAATTTTCAGGGGATGAAATGGCTGTGATTTCTAAGGGCTGATTAATGTTACT